GGTATTCAGATGTCTTCAGATGTATTCAAGAGTCTTGCATATCAGACACCATAGCGTTCACATCATGGAGCCACATTCATCAGAGCAAGCATTAGATAAATATCACTGTGCAGATTATGATAATGCTTATGGACTGAAATATGTTGACGGCAGATGGACACTTGGACATAAGAATCTACGCTTTGAGGACCAATACATAGGCGTAGATAATGTCGATTTTAAAAGTACTCTGGGTCTATTGGAATTATTATTTTCCAAGAACTCTCGAAATTACACGCCTCTGGATCACCAGATGTATAAACAGATGCTAGAAATCAGCTCTATTCATAGAGATCGATTAGGGCGATTACGAGGACAAGCTGATAAGGAGAAATTCGATAAAATTATCAGACCCCTCTTCAAAAATAAGACCAGACCTAAACGTCCAAAGTCGAGCGTCGAGCCTGAAGCCAGTATTGGGAATGAGGAGTACAATATTTTAGATGAATGGACAGATCCGAATATCTTGGTGGATAGACTGAGATATTCAATGGAATCAGATAAAAACAACAACGAGCTCACCTTTATTCTTACTGAACTTGAAAATGTTGGTATAATATCTAAGAAATAAATGATGTCAAAATTATCCGTTTTTTATTCAACACCTGCTAGGCGAGTAGACTCACAATGACTACTCAACTTGGCATACAAAAATATATATTTAAAAACCCTGTATAATGACTGGTAGGTATAGTGTGATGAAATCATAAACTTGGTTGACTTGCTGACTGTCTTTGGTCGACTGACATTTTTACGATGATAATCACTCTAAGAGTCACAAAAATGAAAAACGAGGTAGCGACATTTCTTGCTGACCCGCCCTGTATAGCAGAAATATTTTTTAGTGTGGGATATTGAATATTAGGTCTAGGACTAAAAACAGGTCTTGTTTCAGCTTGAACAGCTGTTTTTGTGTGATTTCGATAGTTCCTTATATCTCATATGGAACGATAAGAGAATCAATAATAATAGGATTATTTCCTTTATTATCCGTTAATTTTAGTCTATAACTCAGCTGATTTAATCATCTTTCTAGGCTTTGAAAGAATATGATTTTCTGTATACGCCAAATATAGAACAACCAAGATAACGGCATCCTGTTTGAACGCTCCAACTTGAACAGCTGTTTGATTTCGGTAGTTCGTTGATTTCGTGAAAAGACGATAAGAGAACCCGTGTATGTCTTTTATACCAACTCGTTAATTGTTGTCTATAGCTCATCTATTGTAAGAGTATCAGATTCTGAAATATTCGGCGGATTCAGTGGCAGATAAAATGCATAACAATGCTTGAATATAATATGCACACATGAAGATAAGCCTCTCAATGTATAGGGTGAATCAGTCAGTATAGTCGGACAGTGGACTGAGTTTTACAAAAGAATCATATTATGTGATGCAAAAAAAAGAAATGCTCAATAGATCATATCAATAAGCAAGAAATGCTCAATAGATCATATCAATAAGCTAAAAAGAAACAACAAATTGTGTTCTTCTTTGCCAGTAGTAGGACACTTGTTGGAATTTCATGAAAATAAATATCTAGTAACCGGCCATCGACTTTTCACTTTGAAATTTCAGTAAACATCAGTTTCAAATGATCTTAATGCAAATTAAGACTAATTATGACACATACAAATCAATATGAATTCATAAATTTAAAAAGAATAATTTTCACTCGCCTTTGAAATATCCTTTGCTTATGTTTGATACACTATGTTAAAGACAGTCAGGCACATCACTAAATTAGCGCGCTATTATAATCTCAATAGTACCAACTGCTCAATCGAAAAATGTATAGAATGGCGTGGAAACATTGGTGCTACAGATTTCTCTTCATTTGGAGGTAATATGTTATTTCCGGGCAAACTTGAGAAAAACTATGTTTCTATTTCAATAGAGTGATCCTTCATCAGGCAATTACTTCAAGCAATGATCTTTGATTCTAGTTTTCGCGATAGAGGGTGTTGATCAGTAGGTTTTATTACTGGTTAAAATCGAGAATGATTCATCTAATAGACATCATCAGGGTGGGAGTTTGAATTTTAAGTTATTCCTTAGTTATTCCTCGAAAGACACTTACCTGAAATGTACGCTGGTCAATCGTTAGCAAATTATACCAATCGGCAACCTGCAGGGCTGCTATAATGTAGCTTGATACAGCGAAACTGAAATAATTTATGAATAAAAGTGATATTCGTAGAATAAAATTGTAGACCTAAAAGGCCAAAACCCGAAGGATACGGGATGGAATTTATCGTGCAGAGTGAATGAAAGCACTCAAGTATGCTACATAAGTTAAATCATACGAGCATTCTGTGTGAGTTATATACTACACGTTTTCTATGACTACAGCAAAACTCTTCAGTTTGCTGATTTTCTCACAATTAATAGTCTGTCATTTCATGAAATTCGATAATGGAACATGGTGTATGTTTATGTGGCAATTTTTTTAGAAAAATCGATTTATATCATACCTAACACCTAAAATTCAAAATGTGACCTATAGTGACATCTTAACTCGAACATAGACCACTCTGTATATTTTAATTTTTGTGTAGATAGGGATGATGCAATATTCTAGAGATTGCTATACTTTACGACAGCATTTTCTATTATTTATGCATATAGTATCCATACAGAGGTTCTTTACAATTTCAATAAACATTTATCGCTAAAGGTTGGAGATTGAAAAATTAATAAATATATATAAAATGTGCCAGTTTTGCTCGTTTGCGGTATTTGGCGACTTTAGATGATGAACTATCGCTATTTTTTCTGGTTTTACAATATTATTTATAAAACATATCTAACCACCAGTTCCGTCTTCATGTTTTTTTCACATGGTTTTGCAAAAACATATCTAACCACCAATTCCGTCTTCATGTTTTTTTTTCACATGGTTTTGCGAGAACATATCTAACCACCAATTCCGTCTTCAAGTTAATAAATAGGCAGATGGATGCTGCAAATAGTCATTAGCTATCTAGAAGAGAACTCTAAATGGGTAAGTACATATTTTTGCTTGTGGCTCAGAATAATTGTTCTTTTTTTCGCCAAATGATATTAAAAGCGGCTTCTCAATGATAATTAGAAAGAGTTTCTTGCTTCAAGTGATATTTTGAATGAAATTGGTTCTTCAACTTTTGTTAAAAACTTTGCGGAAAACTAATTTGGGAAAATTACCTGAGTAGAAAAGAAGATTGAGCTAGCTCGACTGCTAGCTGTAGTATCTTGCTCATTTTTCCTCCCTATAGGGATTTTGAAAAATATGCCTAGCATTTTATGTTGCTCGTTTCTTAGTAGTATTCTAAAAATTTATATTATACATGCTCGAAATATTTCATCAGTCTTGATGAAGGTAAATGGTTCTTGAAGCTGCTGTAATAGCTGAAAGCGAACCGATCTGAGGTTGTTTCACAAACATACTGAGACCCTATAGCTTTCAATGTTGTTAAATACCTCAACTCTCTGTCGCATATGCTAAGGAATCTCAAATTGATTAGGATGCAATAAATCGAAGTAATTTTAGGTGAAAAATCAAAGATTTCAAATTTTTTCATTCATTCTGATCCCTCTAAAATTCTGAATCCGGTACATTGGGAAACAAATCATTGAGTGGGTGATAGGATTTTTTAAAATCGACTGAACTTCAACCCACAGTATCTCCAAACATCAATCATTTGGTAGTCATTTTAATTTTCATTACGTTACTAGAATGTGAGGACCGAGTTGATAGAACTGCTGAATTATTCATATCATTTAGCCTTTTTGGTATATTATTTTATAACAACTAATGCTCATTGATTATGAAAGATATAATTTGATATTTAGGCTGGAATAATATAGCTGAATCATTTCTAGATCACAGATGAATGTAATGTTTAATATTTCTCTGTGATTGATCCTACATCATATATCAAATTGATAATAGCTTAACAAAATATGCGTGTTATTTTCAGACCACATTGAAGCCGAAATATGGGCGATAGTAAGGAGCTGGCTGCCTCCCCACCTACGTGTGAGTATACTATCCTTATGTAATATTTTTAATTCTGGAAGAATAATGCCATTACATCGAAATTTTAGGAATTAGAAATGTTTAGCTCTGACGTAGAATCATGTTTCAATATTGATCTCCTGACTAAATTTAAGTCTAATATGTACGCGTTTACAGAAATGTTATTGGTGGATTAGTCTTCCACGAGTGACGTCGGGTCTGTGTGAAGTATGTAAATTCATTACGTTTACGGAAATGTTATAGTCTGATTATCCTTCCACTAGTAGCTGTGAGATCCGGACGTTTTGATTTTTCACCCTGTGGTGTTTCAGTTATTTTTTTTTTTTGGTTCATACATATCATCTGTTGATTCTTCCTTATTTTTTTGTTCGCTTTTCAATAATTTTGATGAAAATATTCGTTGTATTATGTTGATGTGCTGAATATTTATACTTATTTCAAAAACACCTTGTATTTTCTTCAGGGGACCAGGAAAAATGTATTGCTGCAGAGAGATATTTGTGTATAGTACGTAGGGATTATTTGTTCCATATGATGATATGATATTGCATAGTTTCCTAACGTGTTACGTATACAATATTTTTCTAATTTCAATGAAAAATCCGCTTGAAGTGGAATAATAACTAATTCTGTGTGCTAATTATGCTTGAAATGTAGTTAGCAAGTTGACTTCGCCTGTCAAACAATAATTCTAAATAAATCAAATTCATGAAATAGATTTGTTTTGAAACTATCGCTAGTGGAAATGTATGATTCAAGTTCAGATTTCGAGAAAACGGCAACACATACATTCATTTTTTTTCATCTATCCATATTTTTATTACGTAACGGGGTTATATAATATTTCGCTTTACGTAACTAGTTATGTGAAGTCAAAATTGAAAAAAATAATGAATTTGCGCGCTGCGATAATATAAAATTAATAGAGTTTTTCTTTCCAGACCAAGCCGATTGCCATAATGTTTGGGGCGGGGGGCAGTGGGGTGGTGCCCCCGGATATGACGTTTCTGGGCACCGCGGGCCCATACCGTATATGGGCCCACATGGCTCAGGGCGGAACAGTAGTGTGGGCCATATAATTAATAAAATTTAAAAAATATTGATGTGTCTTTTCCTTCCTTCCCAGATTTAGCTAGATGTTAGTTTGATCACAGAAACATATACTAAAGCCTGAATCATTGCAAGTAAAAAATTCATTCGTAAGTAACCCTAGTTCTCACATTATGAATCAATGGAGTAGTATGGATCAGACAAAATTTTTTAAAAAATATATAAAATACTCAACTTACCGGTGCTTCTACACTAATACACTTCTTTTTTTTTTCAGTCTGCTGTACGAAATTATCCTTTTATATGTTAGTCGTTTCCTGTTTTTTCATAAATCCAACCACTTTTTAGCCTCAAATCAGCCTTCAGAAATGTGTTTTTCCCAAACGTCATTGAAAAAATAAAGCCAGTAGAGTTTTCCCATATTTTATGTTTGATAACAAATTCGTGTTTTTCTTGAAACCTATAATCATGAAACAGGAAGCTCTTATCTATAATGCAGAGTTTCTAGTCTCTGTATTCCGAATAGTAATTCAACATTATTTTCAGTCTTGAATATCGACGCGTATGTGAGGTTCCTCTATCGCGCTGTTTTTCTAAAAATAATGTGTACGAATTTGTGCAGTGGTGTTCGCTTTTCAAAGAATCGTGTATGGAAATAGGGTGAAGCGATTTTTGTTTTATTTAAATTGTTTTTTCACTATTCCCATTCATTATTCGGATTCTCATCGAGGTTATATGAAGAAGAAAGGTAAAAGTGCCCCATGCTTTATATTTTTCCCTATATAGATACAAAGTCATGTAGAACACGTCTTCTATATAGATGCATCAAGTAATCAAAAAGTTGTGTATGAAATCTCACATCGCGAGTTTTAGCTGAAAGGCCCACCGACTTGAGATACCAATCATTTGCTATGAAATAAATGTGAGCACCTTGCTGATAGAGTGCTAGAGTATTCCTACGCAGGCTGTTTTTTCAATATTCCCTTAGCCGCTAGCAGCACTAGCCCGTTTTTGGGTTGAGTCAGGCTCAGGAATTGTTATATATTATTTGGATTTGCATTGAGCGCACTTTGATGCAAGATTTCGCGACACCGCGTATTTTGCTATCTAGCGAGTAGCCTGATAACATCTATCAATCTAATATGTTTTGCTGGGCTAGCACCTAAACTGCTATTCAACGCCCTATTATGCTGTCGTTTGTCATACGTGAGCTGTCATCTATCGAATTTTTGTTGGTAAAGTGGAATGGAATGCCCTTTTTTTTGCAGCTCAAACACCTGATTTTTTGTTCAGTGCATTATGGAGCACTCTGTATGTTGTTCCGTGAAGAGCGACATCATATATTTTTATTGCAGTTTAACTCTGTATTATTTTTTCGATCCATGAATTATGGGTCGTCCTGTATATTTTTTACTATTCAACTCAAACATGATTTTTTCAGCCTGAATACCTCTGAATACTTCTATAGGAAGACGAGTTTTGCTAAAGAGTTGTTTGACATATTTCAAAGTGGACGGTAAAAGGATGTTTTTACTGGGTATAGGTATGCTGAGTTCGCCTGATGTCTAATATTATCATTATAAGTATGGAGAATTTCAAGACTCTGACTATGTTTCTGTATATAGAAACTGCCATTCGATCGTTTGTTATCTGCCCCGGTCATATGCTGTCATGTCATCTATCATCCATTTGATTGAATTACATCATGATTGGGTTCATGGTAGTTCTATAGTTTGTTTTTCATAATTATTTGAATGGGTGGCAATAAATTTTAGATTTTTTTTCTACTCCCTGTATATGTTTTCAAATAATTCATTCGATTCGAGTTTTATGACTCATTCTGTATATGTTTCTTGAATATTTAATCCACCCTACTTATTCTGCTCATCCTGTATATGTTTTTTTTCAGTCGAATCAGGTTTCTCCAATCGCTTTGTATATGATGATATCCTAGAAAAAGTACGTAGATCTGTGGAAAAACTCTGCTTTGTTTTACGCAGTCACTTATGGCACGTAACTTGTAATTTCCATAGAATCTAGGGAAAAATTAACTCTTTCGCTTTCATAAAATTCATAAGTTGTGCTAAACCTGGATATCTGTTTTCGATAAGCGCTGGAAGGTTACGTGTCATTCATCTCATCTGTCGAATAGTATAAATGTCATCTGTCATACTTTAGTTGTTGAATGTCTGAATAATTCGATTTTCATTCTACAACTTCACCACCCTGTATCTCAGAAAATGGAGCCATTTCGGGCTGAGTAAGTTCCTTTAATCCAACTGAATTTAATTGATCTGCCCTATACATGTTTGTATTACTATTTGAAAGCCCTGTATATTCAACGGACTCTAGCGAGTCAAATGTCATACGTTAATATGTTCGCTGGGTCCGCCTGTCAGTTCTTGCCTCCCCTGTATATATTCTTATTGCTATCCAAACACCCTGTATAATGATTGGAATCGTCAACTAGCGACAACTGTCACACTTTTGCTGAGTCCAACTTTCACTTGTTGCAACGAGTGCCCTATATAAGTTTGTATTGCTATTATTGCTGTATATCGAACGGATACTATATCATACGTATGTTTGCTACTCCGTGAGACGCCCTATTTCTTATCGCTATTGCTTACTCAGACACCCTGTATATATTTTTATTGCTATCCAAACACCCTATATATTAGATTGAATCATTAGCTAGCGGGTAGCCTATATGCTGGTAGTCTACTCGTCGAGGAGGTATAACGCCTTTTGGGTTCACTCTATATTTTTTTCCAAACTATTACCCAACTCAAACACCCTGTATATAGCCGTTGTTAAGTGAAAAATGGAATAAAATGCGCGCCGTTATCTCTAGAACGGATCTATCGCTTTGCTCGCCGTCGGAGCCGGATGACCTTGAAGTGGCCAAAAAATTGCAGAATGAACCTTAACTTTTCTTATGGAGATTTACATGGGAAAAGTGGTCGAAATGGTCTGGAGTCTGTCTAGCCCATTTACTAACCTCACATAGATTGCTTCATTATCAATCATTATTGCTTGAAATTTCATACCTACTCAAACTTCTTGAACTACAAACAGGTCTGTGTAGTGTGTATAGTCACAGATTAACAAACCTTAGTGTAAACGCTAATGTTGTTGTCGTATCGCCGCCATCTTCTTGACTCTTTCATTTATTTAGCCTCTCTCCGCGGGTCCGTGTGGTCCTTACCCTAGCCTCGGTACACGGTACCTCGAGTTAGATTGACAGGTTAATATTTGCGGGAAGTTCGACAAGTGCAAGTTTTGAAAAATTAGTTGAAAATGACTTCATGTTGTATAACATTTTTGAATTATTCCAGAAATACTTTAATTTTGCGATATTTTCAATAAAATTAAAGTAGACATTAGAAATTCGAAATAAAATGATCTTAATCAAATCTGTAAATATATCGAAACTTATGAACCTACAGAAAAAAAAAACGAATTACTACCAACCTATTTTCGATTCCAAAACAAAAAATCATAGATAGATTTGAAATGTTCTCAATATAATAACTTTTGGAGATTCAAAACCGGACATGCAATGAATATTCGATACGGAATGATTTTGATCCAGAATAAATAATCATGAAATATCCATAGAACAATGCGTTCAGAATATTCTCAATCGAATGATCTGTGGATATACGAAACTGAACCTGCGATGAATATTCGAAATGGAATAATATAATTCAGCACCCTACATATAATTCAGCACCCTACACCATAGATGTACGAGCTCCACTTGGCAATTCTGACCACACACTCATCTCTACAACCTGCCCATTCTTCATTCCATCAACTGCTCCGGCACCCCCACGTCTTATATGGCATTACAATTCAGGAGATTGGGACGGTCTCCGCATGTTTTTCTCCGAGTTTCCTTGGCATAGAGTATGCTTTGACTCTGAGGACCCTTCACAGTGTGCTGCGGAAATATCCGAGATCATCATGCTTGGAATGGACACATACATACCTCATTCTTCGAAAAGATCATCACCATCGAAACCCTGGTTCAACAAAAACTGTTCTAGAACTGTTGCCTTGAAACAAACAGCCTACCATCGCTGGCGCAAAAACCCTAACCCCGCGACTAGAGCAGAATACGTCGATGCCAGAAATACCTGCAGCCAAACAATAGATGCTTCGAAAGAAACATACAATGCCAAGATAAGATCGAAACTCATAGATTGTCCCAATGGCTCCCGTTCGTTTTGGTCCCTTGCTAAAGCGGTCGGAAGAAATTTCACTAATAGTTCATTTCCACCACTGTCCAAATCCGACGGCACATTAGCAACAACATCGCAGGAGAAAGCAAATATTTTTGCAGAGATTTTTGCAGCAAACTCTACTTTAGATTCCCAAGGAAAAGTGCCGCCAGACATTCCACCCGTTGAAAGTCGAATGCCCGAAATCGTCTTCCGTCAACGCACTATCAGACGAATTTTGCTTGATCTCAAAACAAATAAGGCTAACGGTCCTGATGGAATTCCACCCATTATCCTCAAAAAATGTGCACCAGAATTAACACCGATTCTCTGCAAGTTGTTTACCCTCTCGTATAGGTCGGGTATTTTTCCATCATGCTGGAAGACAGCTAGAGTCCAACCAATCCCCAAAAAAGGGAATAAGAACCTGCCCAATAACTACAGGCCCATTGCCCTGTTATCAGTAATCTCCAAAGTGATGGAGAAAGCCATCAATATTGAGCTCATCAAATATCTAGAGAGCTCGGGAATCATCAATGATAGACAATACGGCTTTCGCCACCGAAGATCTACTGGAGATCTACTTGCCTACGTCACCCATTTATGGCAAGCTTCATTAGAAAAACACGGGGAATCTCTAGCTGTCGCGTTGGACATATCGAAAGCATTTGACCGTGTTTGGCACGAAGGACTTCTCCACAAACTACCATCATACGGCTTACCACCTCAGCTATGCCATCTCTTATCGAGCTTTCTTTCAGGCAGATCGCTTCACGTGGTGGTGGACGGT